ATTTGGAAGGACTGGATAATATTCTCAAAGACAAAGCTTACCAAACTGTTTCATTCGTGGATGGCATGAAAGTGGTATGCATTTTAGTGTTTGCAGAATAGTAGTTGGCTCTGGCTCAGTCCTTAGCGTGAGTCTGTTTATGTATATTTTTCCAGTAAAAACTAGAATCTATAAATGAATTTAGTATCATCTATAGAAGGTTCTTCAGCACAGGCAGTAAAGCATGTGGTTCATATGTATGTTTGTTGGCCAGAGAACCTAAAGCTTCCCATGCGTCTGAACTCTATTACATAATCCCACTTGTGTCATTCTGCTTTCAGGGATGCGAGCAAGACTGCAAGCAGCCCACCTACATCCCCAAGACCTGGCACCATCACAGCAGTTCCCTCTGCATCAACAAGCAATATGATACCCCCAAGGCACCAGAAGCCTGTTGGTGCAGCAGCGACAAAGAAGAAGCAGCAGCAGAAGAAAAAGAAAGGTGGGAAAGGAGGCTGGTGATCATGGCAAGCAGACTGCTGAAGTGCAAATAGTCTAGCTTTCCTTTTTTCCAACTGCAGATCCTAAGAATGTAATAAAGGTCAAACAGAAACCAGGGTGAAGGTGACTTTAAACATGGTTTGTTCTCTATAGTGATTAGGGGGATCTTCCTTCTTTGAAATAGTTCCCATGGCTGGTGACATTATCATCTCCTATAAAATCCAGGCCATGGTTTGGTAAATCTTTTCTTACACTGCACTGGTAAATATTGGCAAATTGGTTGACTGGCATACTTTCAATAATTTACATTTTACCAATTGGAGATATCAAAGTATAAAAGTTACAATTAAACATGCACGCACCAAAGCTGTTGCATACTGTTAGAAGGAAAGGCAATTTTTATATTTTCTTTTCCTATTCTTTTCTACAGTGACACACAAAACAGAGGGAATGTAGGTTCTTAACTCTCAGCCTACTAACTAGGCTGGTTTTGTACATCCTTATCAGGAACAAGTTCTGTTGAGTTCAGTGGGACTTATTTCAGAGTAGACAATTCTAAGATTGCACTGCTAACCAGCCGAGGGGGCAGTTCTGTGCATGCTTCAACAGAAGTAGTCCTGTAGCTGCCATCATGCACCAGCCACCACAGCATAGTGTAGCTGGCTGGGGCATGCTGGGAGCCATATTTGTCTGTCTAAAGGTGCACAGAATTGTGCCCTTGTATTTTGTTTGATTTACCCATTAAAGTGTGCAAGCTTTGGGGAAACTCAACGTAAGTTCTGCTTAAACCCATTGAAATAAGCCTCATTAATTTCAGTGGCTCTGTTCTAAGTATCACTTACATTGGCCATTACCCCTTACCTATCCATTTCAAAGAATGAGTAGCAGTCGTAATAGAGTATGAGCTCTAAGATAAGCCGGTCACCAGGAGAAATGAAGTTTTCTAGATAACCCAGTACAGATCCTTAGTTGGCCTCCAGACCACCAGTAAGGAACACTGGTGTAACTATATGCTCTGAATGAAAGAAGAACCAGTCTCCTGTTAGAGTGTAAACGTTATGTATACATGCTCCTGGTTGAAGCTACTGTGAGGGTTTTTTTCACCAGATACATCTGTACACATCATGCCAAGTCACTCTACAAATACCATGAGTTGGTTTTTCACTGAACTACCTACAGAACTTCTGAAAGATTGACCAGGTTTGCCATGGCTTGTTCACATGCAGTCCTCCCAGTGGCTTCAGCACATATCACTGGTGCCCTTGTGGCATAACTCACCTTGCTCGTTGTCCTGCCTTCCCCCTGCACTCCACTTGCTACCCTTCTCAGAGCACTTACTCCTTCTGCCACCTTAAAAAATGTTCTTTGGGAATAAGAAAATCAAGTCAATTTTTTAAAATCCTGTTCTTTCACAAGTATGAAAGGGTATAGACTCACCTTCCAATTTGTATAGTCTTACCTTGTCAGATTCCTGGAGCATCAAAGCAAATGTGGGGAGGCACCATGCTAGTATCAACTCCTGCTACTAAGTGTTGAATTCCATTTTCAACAGGAATCTCATTGTCTAGCAAGTTCTTTTTGGAGCAGTTACTACAGTTGCACAAAATAGTCCCAACAGTTAAAAAAGACCTTATTGAAAGTGCAGTAATCAAAATAGCAACTGCTCAGAAAAGGAGCTGTGAAAATGGGGGCAGAGGAATAACCCTTTCCTGGACTTGCTGCAGTCAGTTGTGTGTTGACTGAGGGAAAAGACCCTGACAAGTGTCAATTTGACACTTTAATAGTGAAAGGATCACCCCACCAATTGGGAGATACTGTCCCTTGCCTCCTTTGACGAAGAAAGATATTGACAATTCAAGACTATGTATCAGGCAGCTGACTGCACTTTTATGAAGAATGGAGGGGAAAATAAGTTTTTTAAATGGCTCCATTTACTCACTGCCCAAATACCTTTTTTTTTAAAGACAGCAAGTATCTCTCTCCAAAGTGCTACCTGGCTGTCAGTGGCCAGGGAATATAGCAGTGGCATGAGCAAGACTGCAAGGAGTGGCAAAGGGTAGCTGCTGTTAGCTGGGACGCATTCGCCATTTCCAGCAACCCATAATGAAACTGCCCTGCCAGCTTGGGATGATACAGTAAGCCACCACGGGCATAAAAAAGCCATAGGTCAAATAAGCCATCCTTCAGAAATCACACCAGGTTTGGATGATATGACAATGATATGATATGTAGGTCTTCTTGTTCTGTGCAAACGGGGTTGCTCAAGCATTCTTTCATATATCAGGATGACATTTTCTGTGGCTAATTTGTTTCAGTTTCAGTTCCCATTTTTGTAGCATTTTGCTTTTTGCAGAGCACTAGCTCTGTGAATTACAGCTAACATTCCTGTTTTCTTTAACCATGCGCAAATGGTGAACATGTGTATTTGCTCCTATTCTGAGAGCCCTTTTTGTTTTTTTTTATTAAGCTGCTAGCTGCTTCCTACTTGATTTTCAGGGTTGATTTTTAACAAAGATGTGTGTATTTCATGTAGTCCATGTGCATTGATGGTGTCTGTGTAAGACTTTACAAAAATGTAAAGCAGGCTATCTTCTGGACTTGATGTGCTGCAGTCCCAACTCCGGAGATGATCCTGTTTCTAAAACCTGTAAAAACTTCATGTGACAGGGCAACAAACCACAACCCAGGAAAGTTGGCCCCTTTCAACATTCTCTATACTCGCTGTCTTTGATTTCTATCTTTGATGTCTGGCTAGATGCTGGTGTGAGTGCAGTTGTAGCACTTTTATTTCAATACTGTCCAATAGCTACAGCTCACTGGGTAGTGTACAGCAATTGATAAAAAGCAATAAAATACAATATAAAGTGTAAATATTCATTAAAAAACTTTGAGTAAAAATTAAACTGAATTTTAATAACTGTAATAAATTGACAAGACCACTGCATACAGCTGGACCTCTTAAAACAGCAGACAGTATCCGAGTGCTGTTTAGAGCTGTTAAATGTTTTGACGTAGAGGGTAGTCTAAACCTGACACTGAAAGAATAGTAGGTTTTGGTTTAGGTCTGCCCCCAAACATACAGGAGAATGAGGAAATATTAATGCTCAATTTCAAGCTATCATTTGTTAGAAATGCTACTCCCACCTGCTCTCAGTATTAAATGGAGTTCAAATCCTATTTAATGTTGAATTCAGATAGCACATGCCCAAAGATTATTTGACACCAACATCAAAGGAGATCTTTGGGCAACAAGTCTCTTTCAGCTCTCACCTTGACCTTGTTAGCATCTTTGCACAGGAACAATGCTTTCAAGAAGTATATCCTAATCTTACAGTTGTAACTGTAACTATTCTGGCTTCTTCCTTTATTTCTGGGCCATCTGTTGTTCTGTTTCATATTGTGAGAGTATCTGAATTACAGATGGGTCAACTACTCTGTTTAGCAACATTCAATGCGGCTCCTGGCAACTTCTGCACAAAGATGTTGAGCAGCAGAGGAATGGTCTTAACAAGGCATTTGTTCCTACCATGAGATTGAACTCTCCTTGTCTGCCAAAACATGCTGAGGAATTGTTTCCTTTTCTCTATTTTTTGTGGTGCATGACCTCATGCCTCCTTTTTTGAAAGTATGTTTATATCCTCTCTTTCCCCAAAGAGCCCAAGATAGTGCACGTGGTCCTTCTGTGCATTTTAGCTTCATAAAAACCCCTGTGAGGTAGTTAGGCTCAGTAACTACTGCTGCTGCAATGCTAATAGAAGCTCCAATTATAAAGAGTTTACCTCACATCCTGAAGATGAGAACAAACCTATCCCTCTCTTTTTCCTTGAAGGTTCATCTCGGGACATGCCATCAATTTTCCAACAGAGAAGAGATAGACACTAGCTAGTAAGAGCCGGCATCAAAGGGGTGCCCTGTAATGATTGCCATGGCCGACTGGAAACACGCATTTACCATTAAACGTTCTTGATAGGTGAGGCCAAAAAAAAAAAAAAAATGCCCTTCGACAAGTTCAGGGGCACGTTTTCCAATTTTGGAGCCTTGGTCCATGCTCGCTCGCAGCAAGTAGCACTCCCGGCAGTCCCCGTTAGTGCAACAGTAAGAGCACTCGCCGCCAAAGCGAGGGGTGCGGCCGAGCGAGCAAGCGCAGGGCGGCCGCCTGGCGGAGCACGCCGGCCGCCGCCCCGAAGAATGGCTTCCTCCCAAGTCCCCCTCCTTGTTTCTTCCGAAAGGAACTCTACTTCAGGGGAAGCCGCTGCAACCTAAACGTGCCGAGATTTGCAACCGAGGGCGGTGAGGCGGCGGCCTGCGGCCTTCTCGGTAGCCAGGGAGGCAACGAGGGTCCGCGGCAGCCCAGCACGCGACCGAAGCGCAACACTGGAACGGCCGCGCCGGTCCGCGAAGGCTCCGGGCGGGGGCGGGGGCGGGAGGAGAGGGCTCGGCGGGGCGGGGCGGGGCGGGAGGGAGGCACTCCGAGCGCGCGCGCTCACGCTCGCCGCCGCCGCGGGTGCCTTCGCTCTCGCCTGGGCTGGGGGATGCCTGCAGCCTCGCTGGAGGTGCAGCGCGCCTTTACGCAGGGCGCGCCGTGAGCAGCCTTCGTCTTCGGGGTCATGGGGAGCAGCCTGCGACAGTTGGCGCTCGTGGGCACCGCCGTGGCCGTCACCGGGGGGGTCGCCTACGTGGTTTGGAAGCACTATTTTTCCGCCCCTGTTCCTCCGGGGCCCGAGGAGTGTCAGCAGCAGCCCTTGCTCGGTGCGCAAGAAAGAGCCGCCTTAAGCTGCACGGGAACGCCGGAGGGCCAGGTAAGGGGCGGCGGGCTGGCTAAGACAGCTGCAATCCCACGCAGCCTTATAAAGGAGGGAGTGGATCGCTCCGGAGTTCAGGCCCGGGTCTCAAACACGGCAGACGAGGTGGTGTCCTGCCGTCTGGCTGCGCCACCCCTTTCGGACTGCTGGCGACGACTCGCATGATCGAATGCTTCTCCATATCGGGAAACTGCATCCCTGCACGTGGACAGCTACCCGACGAGGGAGGAGCGGATTAGGGCCAGTCTAACTTTCCGCTTGACATGCTCGCTTTCTGCGTGTTCCATCATGTGAGAAGCCACCCGCAGCCTAAAGACCAAACATAACTTTGCCTTACGTCTGTGAGAAGTAGCTGTAGCTGGGAGTTTCTTCCAGGTAGATAGGGATGGTGGGGAGGATGAATCGCGGTAAACATATGCAGTCTTTAAAAGTGTCGTTTTTATATTCACCCCTTTCTTTCCCTTTCTAACAGGTAGCTAAGTTTTTCTTTTATTGGCTGTAAAACATTTGTTACTGTAATCGTTTCCGCCACAACGGACGGGGAGGTCAAGTCATGGTTTTGAAAGATAATTTTTATATTTGTTCTATTCCTGAATGGGTATTTGTGTAGTCCCATTACTTGTCTGCTCTACTTGGCTGGGTAAGAGGAAATCCTAGATACCAGATCAATCCAGTGCATGCTTTTGGAAGGTGTGGCAAAGGTACAGAAACTGGAGAGCTCTTACTCTACATGTGGCACTGCTATTGACTCCATGGGAGTAACCTTTCTTGAACTCAGCCAGATTTACTGCTGAATAAACATTCATTAGATCAGGTTATGTGGCTCTAACGGTAAACATGCTTTCTTGGTACTACTGCTAAGAGTTTCGCTGCACTGCCATGTCAATGGTTTTGTATTTTATAAAATTATTGCAGCTCTGCAAATCCTTTGTGAAGATTACCATGCCTCATGTTATCTGTCAAAAAGTTTCCGACCTTTCTGTGATTGTGGACAATCTGCAAATTTGACAAAGTTATGGTCACTGCCACAAATACCTGTCATGGAAGATGTAGTTATTCACTTAATGGCTGGTGGACCTGGCTAGTCAAAAGTGAGCTAAAGCGGGCTTGCAGAAAAGAAATAGGGGAAAACAACAAGGTGAAGAGGGGACAGAAAGAGTAAGGCTAAGAAAGGAAAGAAAGAAGGGAAGGTGAAGGAAGGGAAATAGTGGAGAAAGGAGTCCTGGGGAGAAATAGGAAGACTGGAGACTGGAGGGGCAGGGGGAGCAAAGGGGAAAGATCCATATGCTTGAAAGACTGAGTGGAACAAGAAAGAAAGGCTTTGATGCTCTGCCTCCCAGCCAAACAGCTGATTTGCAGCAGGTTTAGGAACAGGAAGGAGACCCTGATATCCTAACATTTTCAAGGTTTTTTTAAATATTCCTTTTGAAGGGGTAAGGAGTGAAGGGCTTCTTGGGCACTATGTTGGGAACCCCAGCTATACTTTTTTGAAGCAGTTTCCAAAATAATCACTGCACACACCCTGGATTATCATCTGAACTGAGACTAGAAAGAGTCTTAATGTGTGAGCACCAAACATTTTATTACATTTGGCAATAGTCACTTGAAACAGCAGGGAATTGAAGCTTTTGCAGGCTGATGCTATTGATTGTTATCTGGCCATCAAAGTGACCCAAGTGAACAAGACATCTTTGATCTATTCTTACATAATAGTAATACAATTGCAGTGCATCATCACCCTTAATAGGTGTGCCAGCCAGGCAGCCAGTTCTGTCTTCAGAATACTATCCTGAAATAAAGAATTCCATTTCTGCCTCGGTTTCGTGCTTATTTTACATTCTGTAACTGCTGAACATGTTGGGCTGCTTTGAAGGAAGGAAGGTTTCAGGCGTTCCTGGAGCAAATATACTTCTGCAAAACTCAGTGTTCCTCTGAGCAACCTGATACCTCCTCCTTGTTTCCCAGTAGCCCTATTTTAGCTGCAAGACTGGTGACATTCACCACCTGACTTTGTTACTGGAGTGAGCAGGCTGGTGGGCTAATAAAAATATCTGTTGACTGGTGCTTTTTGTGGCCTGATGTATAGGCTGTATAAACCCGAATTTTGGGCATAGAAATAAGGAAAAACTGACTAGTATCTTCAAGTTTTCCATATTCTTTATTTCTTTTAGTTATCTTGAGGTTCTCTTTGCTACTGAGACATAAATCTTATGTTCTGTGGACTCTGGCAACACTTTGAGGCCATAGTTGGATTAGACTAAAACTAGTAAGATGGAATCCTATTAATGTCAGAGTGGAAAGAGATTAGCATAGAAAACCTGCTGAGGGCAGCTCTTCCTCCTTTGTTTTACCTTGGCAACATTACAGGAATCCATTCAAGGAGGTCTGAATGCGGAACAGCCTATGTGGTGAGTCATTTTCAGCAGTTTGCTTCTGTGCATCTTCCTTCCATGCTCAGGATTGGATTAAAGAGTTGACCTAATGAAATGAACTTCTAGAAGATTAAACTCTTTTTAGTAATTGAGTCATGAGGGGGTGTTTAGATAAGGTGCGCTGCCCTTTGTCTTAAAATGAAACCTCCAGACCTTCCTAACTGCACTTTCAGAGGTGTTTTTTTTTTTTTTTTAAACTGCAGTTTAGCAGCTTTTGCTCCCTCTGGTCTGTAAGAATCTAACCCTTACTCTTCATCTCTTTGTTATGAAAATAAAACTCTTTTTACCATTCCCAGTTGGAATAAACAAAATCCTTGAGAGTGCGTGTCCTGTTGTTCTGACAATTAAAGCACCGGCAGATGCAAAAACAATGAATTCCTCCTCTCAGTTGTTCATGCCCTGCACCTAATTAGCCATCCTTGTTGGCAAACATTGAGAGGGAGAAGTGGTTGTTCATCTACTACAAGCACCATCGCCAGGGACACCAGCACATATTGCCCATATCCATCAAGGAGCGATGCACCAGCACTTTGGTGCCACCACAGTCTGGAGCCATTGAGCTCAGTGTCTAAGACAACACAGTTTGGTCCATGTGGCTGCTACATAAAGAGCAAATCTCTGGCATGCAGGCGTGTGTTTACAGCAATGTGACCTGTTCTCCTGCGTAGGGCAACCTGAGAAAACTTTGAAGATATTCGCCTCCAGTAGAAGAAAGGGCTGTGTAGTGACAATCACAACGTTTGGGGTGCAGCGGTGGCCTTTGCCTCAGTTTTTTCTTCTGTGTGTGATACAGTGATTGCAGACGGGCATCCACTGCCACATGAAATTAGCAAAAGCTAGGTGTCCTATTGAAAAGTGACAAGGAAGGAAAGTTGGTGACAGCTAGCAAATTCTGTGATGGTGAGGCCTAAAAGTGGTAAGCAGTGGAGGGGTGGTACATGAGAGCTGTGGGGGAGAGCCTCTTCAGTGGCAGTGCCCCATCGTTGGAATATTATTTCTAGAGAGTCTCACATGCTGCTATTTTTTATTTATTATTTATTAAAACATTTTTATGCCGCCCCATTCGCCGAAGCCTTGTTGGTGACAGATGTCTGGTTTTTTTTTTTTTTTCCTCAGACCCTCAAAAATTACCTTATACTAAATAGTTATAATACTGGCTTTATTTGCCATTTTTAATGTGTTGTTTTACTGTATTGAAAAATAGTTTTTTAAACTTTGTCTAAGCTATCCTAGAAAATTTTATTGGACAGGCTAGATAGGCATTTATTAATAAGTAATAATAAGTGCAAAAAAGCAAAAACATGAACGCAATCTAATGCATTTACAGTAAGGTAATACAAGGTGAAATCCAATTTGAAAAATTTCCTAAGCTACCCTGCGAATAAGCTACACAATGTGAGATGTTCAAGGAACAACCCATCATTGGGCTTACCACGGCTTGTTCTCCCCTCCTTCCTCCTTAGTCCTCCAGAAAGTATCTCAATGTTCCTCATGGCAAAACTTGCCTTCTTTTTTACTCATGTGCTCCAGTTGTTACCCCTTTTTGTTCACTATTTTTTTCCTGTAATTTTTGAGGAATAAGCCATTGGGGTCATTTATTTAGATATCCTCCTAAAACTTGCACAATTGGGTTTATAATGTATGATCGTTGATTTTGTTATTGTCAGTCTGTCGCCCTATAGCTGTATTCCAGTTTAGCCTCTGTGTATGTTTCAGCTGTGGTGTGCAGTGGCTAACATACATGGATATTGAAAAGGAGAGACTGCAAATGGGCTAATTTGTGCCTGGTTGCCAGGTTCCAGCTGCTGTGTCATCAACTGAAGTGCACTGTAAATGGGGAGAAAGCCACAAAAATAAATGCACCAAAAAGTGGGAAAGAATATTGCCTTCTTGGCAATGGGATCTTCTCAGTTTAAGTGCAAACTAACTTCTCAGTGCCCTCCACCTTTTCAGTGCTTCCTCAAGTTTTCAGATGCTGCTGAAAGTGGAGATCCTAACTTGTACCTTCTTCAAGGCATGGTCCAAAAACATGTGAGCCAGACATGATCTGAAGCTAAGTAGGGCTTGGTCTCTCCAGTGCTTGGGAGACAGATCACCTGAGAACCTCATGTAGCCATCTGAAATTTCACAAGGGAAGAAAGGTGGGATATACAGTATATCACAGAAGTGAGTACACCCCTCACATTTTGTAAATATTTTATTAAATCTTTTCATGTGACAACCCTGAAGAAATTACACTTTGCTACAATGTAAAGTAGTGAGTATACAGCTTGTATAACAGTGTAAATTTGCTGTCCCCTCAAAATAACTCAACACACAGCCATTAATGTCTAAACCGCTGGCAACAAAAGTGAGTACACCCCTAAGTGAAACTGTTTAAATTGGGCCCAAAGTGTCAATGTTTTGTGTGGCCACCATTATTTTCCAGCACTGCCTTAACCTCTTGGGCATGCAGTTCACCAGAGCTTCACAGGTTGCCACTGGAGTCCTCTTCCACTCCTCCATGACGACATCACGGAGCTGGTGGATGTTGCGCTCCTCCACTTTCTGTTTCAGGATGCCCCACAGATGCTCGATAGGGTTTAGGTCTGGAGACATGCTTGGCCAGTCCATCACCTTTACCCTCAGCTTCCTTAGCAAGGCGGTGGTCGTCTTGGAGGTGTGTTTGGGGTCAATATCATGTTGGAATACTGCCCTGTGGCCCAGGCTCCGAAGGGAGGGGACCATGCTCTGCTTCAGTATGTCACAGTACATGTTGGCATTCATGGTTCCCTCAATGAACTGTAGCTCCCCAGTGCAGGCAGCACTCATGCAGCCCCAGACCGTGACACTCCCACCACCATGCTTGACTGTAGGCAAGACACCCTTGTCTTTGTACTCCTCACCTGGTTGCCGCCACACACGCTTGACACCATCTGAACCAAATAAGTTTATCATGGTCTCATCAGACCACAGGACATGGTTCCAGTAATCCATGTCCTTAGTCTGCTTGTCTTCAGCAAACTGTTTGCAGGCTTTCTTGTGTATCATCTTTAGAAGAGGCTTCCTTTTGGGACGACAGCCCAGCAGACCAATTTGATGCAGTGTGCGGCGTATGGTCTGAGCACTGACAGGCTGGCCCACCACCCCTTCAACCTCTGCAGCAATGCTGGCAGCACTCATACGTCTATTTCCCAAAGCCAACCTCTGGATATGACGCTGAGCACATGTACTCAACTTCTTTGGTCGACCATGGCGAGGCCTGTTCTGAGTGGAGCCTGTCCTGCTAAACTGCTGTATGGTCTTGGCCACTGTGCTGCAGCTCAGTTTCAGGGTCTTGGCAATCTTCTTCTAGCCTATGCCATCTTTATGTAGAGCAACAGTTCTTTTTTTCAGATCCTCAGAGAGTTCTTTGCCATGAGGTGCCATGTTGAACTTCCAGTGACCAGTATGAGAGAGTGAGAGCGATAACACCAAATTTAACACACCTGCTCCCCATTCACACCTGAGACCTTGTAACACTAATGAGTCACATGACACTGGGGAGGGAAAATGGCTAATAATGCCCAATTTGGACAGTTTCACTTAGGGGTGTACTCACTTTTGTTGCCAGCGGTTTAGACATTAATGGCTATGTGTTGAGTTATTTTGAGGGGACAGCAAATTTACACAGTTAAACAAGCTGTATACTCACTACTTTACATTATAGCAAAATGTAATTTCTTCAGGGTTGTCACATGAAAAGATATAATAAAATATTTACAAAATGTGAGGGGTGTACTCACTTCTGTGATATACTGTATATATATAATATATAGAATTAAAATAAATTAGCTCCTTTTGGAGTACTTACTGTTGCAGTTTTGCAAATTTCTGACAGTTGTAAAGGAAATGCAGAAATATATGCAAATTTAATGGTTGAGAAGTAAATGGAGGGAAATCTGTGAAACAGTTTCTTCTCTCTCTATACACACACACACACAGAATTGGGTTATTAGTTTATTTAATGACCTTACTAACATGAATTTTAATAAAATAAATGCACATGCCCAGCAGAGAAAGTGGCAGGGTTTGCTGAGACTCATAGTCATCCTGCATAAGCTGCATGCTGTTCTAGTTCAGGGTTGGGCACCTTTGGGAGTTCAGCAGATTCCCTTTGGGCAGTACCTTCATCCCACCTGGGAAGGCTAAAACAATTTTTAAAAAATGGTACCTGGATTGGCAATAGAGTGCCTAAAGTCAAGCTGCAGCCTCTGTAATCTTCTCCAAGATGGAATTTAGCCCTCAGATTGTAAAGGTTTGTCACCCCTGTTATATTGCAGTCAAACTGGTAGTGAGGGAGTCCTTCCGCCAGTTACTTCCACACCTGTAATGCCCTGGCTAGTAAGATAATAATGGCATGCCTTTGTTAATGTTTTGTTGCTGCTACCAATAAAAAACTGCTTCACACCGTTTTGACTTATTTGGGCAGTCAAAGTCTTGTGTCTTCATCAGTGATTATTCTGTTTTTTACCTTATAGGATAAACCACCCAGCAAGCAGATCCTGGTTCTGGGCTTGGATGGGGCAGGAAAAACCAGTGTTCTCCACTCACTAGCAACTAACCATGTAAAGCGCAGCTCAGCTCCCACAGAAGGCTTCAATGCTGTGTGTGTCAGCACGGAGGAAACCAAGATGGAATTCCTAGAAAGTAAGCAAAGGTTTCCAATGGAAAACATTAGAAAAAAGCTTCTTTTTAAAATTTTGCTTGAGGGGAGATCAATGGTAGAAACTCTCCCTTGTCCATACAAACCATCCATGAAGACATGTGCAGCCATGGTGAAATCCTTGAGGTCATACTTCGTCCTGGGGTGGCCACACACTCCATCAGTCATCAACACATCATCATGGTGGAGCAGATCTGCTGGGATTCTGGTGCCACAGCCCCTTGTGGGAACTGGTGGCAGCTGCTGGAATTCCTGAGGGCCTGTGGGCTCCCTGACCCTGTGTGCAGGCGCATGCACACATATCTGGACAATATGAGACAAGGGGTTGTATGACTTCCTATTTTCCTCTGCCTCAAAACTACCGATGCACCAAAGAGTGTGTGCTTTTCAGGTTGGTACAATTGTGTGTGTTTGAACAAGGAACATTATGAAGAAATTTAAATTGTGCATAGTCAAAGCTTTGTCTCGATTCAGGTTTAAAAAAGAATAGAAACAAAGCTTCAACTGTAATGATGGGTAAAATGGAGATGACAATAAAAATGAGGCAGTAGAATGTCTGTAGACATAAAAGCAGGAGTTTTCTTTCCCATGCACTTAAAAAAACTTAAAAACAGATAAAAATAAGATTTACATGGATTGTTGCATAATGAAAATACATAACAGAGAAGGAGTGAACATATATTTATTTTGGATAACCGCTGGTGTTTACCAGGTATAAGCCATGATCCATTCAATGAGAAGACTCATTACTTTCAATAGGAAAGTTAAACTATGTTCCCAGGTTATACTAAAATTAGTGAGTTTTAAAGATTGGAGTTGCAAACCACCCTAGAAGTCCACTTTGCAATAAAGATACAGGGTATACATTTTAATATTCTTCGCCGTGGCCTCTGTGCATCACACATATGGGTACTGCGTCTGTGCAGTGCCTTTGGCCGGAAGATTGATAGCTAACGGTTTGGTGGGAAAACTCGGCTCCCCTCCCCCCTAACAGTATATATGGAGCAGAGTGTCTGCCATTTACCAGTCTTGGCGACCGCCGTTCATTGTGCCTTGTGCCGCTTCGCTATCGCTTAGATCGTTACTCATATTCCCTTTGCTTTGCCGAGTTCTCTTTCTCTCTTCCAAGTTAGTATTCCCTCCATATTGCTCTTTACTGTTTCCAGTTAGTCTCTTTGTTTTTTCTCTTCTTGTTCCTATAAACCAAACAAAAAACCAAAAATATTATCTGTTCCCTCTATACTATCTTCTTTTTTCCTATTTCTGCGATGGCACAACGAGCGGCGTTCCGCAAGTGTGGAGAGTGTGGCTCTAAGATGTCCGCTGCAGACCCGCACACCCTGTGCATCCTCTGTTTAGGGGAAGGCCACAGGACGGACAAATGCGGCCATTACTTGTCCTTCTCTAAGCAGGCGAGGAAGAATAGGGAGAACCGCCTACGTAAACTCCTGTGGGACCAGGCTCTCCTACAATTGGACTGACTAGTGGCTAAGCCTACTACAACCTCAGCTTCACCCGACCGCCATCCGACTTCAACTGATCCACCGCAACATCCGGCATCTTCCTCTACTGCTCTGCCCTCACGTCCTTCAGACGAAGGTGCTCCTACCATGGGCGATCAGCCTGTTTCCCAGCCAAAGAAACAGTGGGAAAAGAGGAAACACAGCGGCCCTGAAAAGCCATCTGTGCATAAGAAGGCCAAAAGAGATAAGGCCGAAAAGCCGGTGAAAAGACCAAAGAAACCCGAGCACTCTAAACATCGACACACGGGTTTGGCAGCTTCCTCGGTCCCGACTGCAGTCGCGGTACCGACACCCTCGGGTCTGACCATTCACGCGGTGATGAGGGTTACCCCTCCAGTCTCTCCATGCCGTACGGGATCTGAACTTCACCAGGATCCACCTCGCGGCTCGATTTCTGACGGCAAAATACAAGACTCTCCGCTGAGGGCTCAGTCCCCGACACCTATGCCTCCTGTTTGGCTCGATACCAAGACTGGAATATCTCCTTTGAGAAGCCGTAGAAGTAGGTCCTCCGATGCCCAATACGATGATTGGTACCACTCCTGGTATTCTTCCACTCCAAGATGGGCCAACTACCAATCTGTTGGCTACTACCCGGCCGCTAGAGATCAATCCTCTCCACCAGCTCCTTGGGATCACTTCCATTCCACAGCCCCGAGAGACGCCCCGCGGGCACCGTCTAGAGAGAGTGGTAGATCGGCGTCTCCAGGAGATTCCTCCTCCAGCGTCCCAGCTCCCTATTGGGTGGACTCGGGCGAGTCCGAGGTTGATTCGACTTCGCCTGATGCTGCAGTCACCTTGCAAGGGCCTGTATCACCAAAAGAACCACACATCTCTTTTGCTGAGCTGATGTCCAGGCTGGTGAGGTCGCTGGAAATCGAGGCCAACCAACAGCCTGGTCCCAGCACCGATCACTTCTATGATGTGGTACGGGCCAACAATTGACCTCCATCGCGTTGCCGCTCATCACAATTCTGCGACAAGCAATGACTCAGCTATGGGACCTCCCGGCTCACCCCCAACTGACTTCAAGAAGCTATGAAGCCATGTACCGGGTTCGGGAGGGGGACATTCCATTCCTCCTTCATCACCCCAAACCGAACTTGGTGGTGGTGGAGTCTTCTCAGGGCCGGGAGGCACGGGGTCACACCGTGCCCTGGGACAAGGAGGGGAGGAAGATCGACTCCCTTGCGTGCCAAGTCTATGCGGCCTCTGGACTCGGCTTGTGAATATTGAACCATGAGGCAACATTGGTGCGCTATCAATATTTTATAATGCAGCGCCTGGACAACATCATTGCTGCTCTCCCAGATAACCAAGGCGACCTAGCGCGGGTGTTCGTAAAAGAGGCCATGCAGGTCGCGGTGCAACAGCTATCCACAGCCAGACATCATGTGGACACAGACTCGAGGGCTCTCGTCAGCGCCATCTCCCTCCGGAGGCACGCTTGGTTGCGTAATTGCAACTTTCCGGAAGAGATGAAGAGGAGGATTGAGGAGATGCCCTTTGATGGTCTGGCCTCTTCAACGCAAAGACCGACCACAAGTTGAAGAAGATTCACAAGTCGAGGATGACGGCCCGACATATGGAGTTGCAAACTCAGCCTCGACGTAAGTGGTCGTGGACCCATCCACAATATTGGCAACAGTATCCACCCCGACAGCCACAGCACCACCAACAACGCCACAGACAGCAACCGCCCCAACAATTCCAGCAAGGCTGCCGCCGCTTTGACGGGGACAAACGCCAGCACTGATGGGGCGGGTGAACCTTTCCTCTCCTTCCAACTCCACCCTTCCCCCTCTCATTTGGGGTCCAGCTGAAAGGCCGACTCCCCATTTGGGAGTCCATTACATCTGATTGGTGGGTGTTATCCATCATTCAGCACAGATATCGAATAGAATTCGACATCGTTCGGTCATCGAGTCCCATCCGGTTTACTCCATGCTCACCGGTGTTAGACGAGGTTCATCAGCTCCTTTCTAAAGGAGCCATTCATCGCTTATCTCTATCAGAATGACTCCACGGATTCTATTCTAGATACTTTACGGTCCCGAAACGGGATGGAGGTCTTCGGCCAATATTGGACCTAAGAGCTCTTAATAAATTTATAACACCAAAGAAGTTTCAGATGACCACACTCCAAAACATCCTGCCATTGCCGAGGAGAGAGGACTGGTTCGCCTTATTGGACTTGAGGGATGCCTATTTTCATATTTTGATCCATCCATGTCATAGGCGTTTCCTCCGTTTTGCTGTTGCTTCTGAAATCTACAAATTCATGGTGCTCCTGTTTGGACTGGCCACCTCCCCGAGGGTCTTCACGAAGTGTATGGCTCCTGTCTGCGCATACCTCCGACTACGCGGAGTTCAAATATACCCCTACCTCGATGACTGGTTGTTGGTTCCCCAGACTAGAGAAGGACTTTGTTCCTCTGTAAACATGGCCTGCTCCTTATTGCAGGATCTTGGACTTTGCATTGACTGCGAGAAATCCTCTCTTGTTCCTGCGCAGATCATCAACTTCATTGGAGCCCGTCTGGATTCAACAGTGGTGAAGGCATTTCTCCCTCAAGACAGACAACGTACTTTTACTTGACACATCCATCGGATTTGACGAGACGGAATTGTTCCTGCCCGATCTGTTCAAAGACTATTGGGGCACATGGCAGCATCCATCGCTGTAGTTCCACATGCCAAGCTTCGGCTTCGCCCCCTTCAGCTGTTCTTCAACAAAATGTTCCGGCTGCAGACGGATTTGCCAACGAAGTTGATTCAACTCCCGTCCTCTGTTCTACAATCCCTGCTATGGTGGACGGTATCAGACAACTTAAACATTGGAGTCCCATTCCGACCTCGGTACCCTACAGTGACTCTTGGTACCGATGCATCTCTGCTCGGATGGGGAGCACTGTGCTCTGGCCTACGCACTCAGGGTGTTTGGAATTGACAGGAGTCCAGGAATCATATCAATTTCCTGGAACTTCTAGCAGTATCCAAAGCTCTACAATCATTCAAGGACGTTCTTCGCCATCGAGTGGTTCAGATAACCTCAGATAACATCGCTACAGTCTTTTACTTGAACAGGCAAGGGGGGACAAAGTCACCAACATTAGCCCAGCTATCGATGCAGATCTGGGAGTGGCGCATCCCGAGAGACATTACCTTGATAGCAGTACACCTAGCTGGTACGGACAATGTGGAAGCCAATCTCTTAAGCAGACACATGTCCACATCCCATGAATGGGAACTGGATTGTCGGACATGCGACCGACTGTTCCAGCGATGGGGTCTCCCAGGCATAGACTTATTCGCCACCCGGCAAAACAGGGTATGCGAGACTTTTTGCTCGAGAGCGGGAATCGGACAGGGGTCATCCGGTGATGCCTTTACGATCCCTTGGAACAATATGATCTTTTACGCTTTCCCTCCAATACCCCTCATTATGAAAGTAATATCAAAGATAATCCACAATGGGGCCACAGGACTGCTGATAACTCCATGGTGGCCACGATGGGGCCACAGGACTGCTGATAACTCCATGGTGGCCACGCCAAGCATGGTTTTCGACACTTCTTCACATTTCTCGAGAAGAATACCTTCAACTTCCTTCCATTCCTTATCTCATAACCCAGCAGGAAGGCACAATTTGCCACCCAGATCTAGCATCACTGAAATTGACAGCCTGGCGAATTCGATAGCAGTCAGCGTTGGCTCAGTACCAGTCATCTGCAGTTTCTACGGATCCTGTCCCTGGATCCGGCACACTATGCCGTGCTTCAAATCCACCTACCCTCCCTACGTCTTCGGATCCGACGAATGTTCCGTCGGATTCGCCAGTTTTTCACCCGGACATCCAATGTATTCTCAATTTTGCGCTAAGACCGTCCACTTGGAAATCATACGCGGCTAAGTGGCGTTGATTCTCTATCTTCGCTGAATCTCTCTCGTTTTCGCCAGACTCTGCATCCATAGATCATATTCTCCAGTTCCTCTTAGAACTCCACTGTTCTGGACTTAAGCCATCCTCCATAAGAGTGTACATGGCGGCAATTCCCTATTACCATAGTACAGTTCAAGGTTCCTCCATTTTTTCTCAACCACTGATAAAGAGATTTCTTACGGGACTCCATAACCTCCATTCTACGGTCAGACCGCTTATGCCTACTTGGAATCTTTCAGCGGTGCTACAAGCTTTAACAAGACCTCCTTTCGAACCCTTGGCAACAATCGATTTATGCCTTGTTTCTTGGAAAACTGCATTCCTTGTAGCATTTATGTCAGCCCGGAGAGCTAGGGAGCTCTGTGCCCTCAGGGTAGACCCTCCATATTTGAACTTCTATAGGGAGAAAGTAGTTCTACGGATGGATCTGTCTTTTCTTCCAAAAGTGGCTACCTCCTTTCACATGGGCCAGGAGATTGTCTTACCTGCCTTTTTTCCATCTCCTTCGAATCTGACTGAGAGATCCCTACACACTCTTGACATACGGCGTTGCCTAGCCTTTTATAGATCAAGGACTGAGTGTATTCGACATTCCAATAAGCTCTTCGTTAAGTACTCTGAGCAAAATCAAGGTTTTCCAGTTACCCCTCAGAGACTTTCCAAGTGGATAGTCCACACGATTATTCTCTCCTATCAGTTGGCCAAGATAGACTTACCTACGATTCCAAGGTGTCATTCTACTAGAGCTGCAGCTGCTTCTTCAGTCTTTGCGTCGGGAGTTCCGATTGACGATGTCTGCAGAGCTGCCACCTGGATCACTCCATGTACATTCGCTAAGCATTATAGACTGGATGTCCGTGCTAGACAGGACTGTTCCTTTGGCAGAGCCGTTCTTTCAACTATTCTTTGTTGATGACACCTCCCTCCTCCAGTCAGGGTAAGCTTGCTAATCTACCCATATGTGTGATGCACAGAGGCCACGACGAAGAAAAGCAGATTGTTTACCTGTAACTGATGTTCTTCAAGTGGCCATCTGTGCAGTCACACAACCCACCCACCGGCCCCGCTTGGTGTCATTGGGTAGTATTGTTTTGGTACCGTGCTATTCTTGTCCTCGGTACCTACACAATATTTTTTCTTCTGCCGTCGATATCGATGAAACCTTTTTTCCCTTAGTTACAATTTTTTATTGAGAGAGCGAACGTCCAGTCTGTCAAAGACTGGAAAATGGCGGACACTCCACTCCATATATACTGTTAGTGGGGAGGGGAGCGGAGTTTTCCTGCCAAACCGTTAACTATCTATCTTCCGGTCACAAGGCACTGTGCAGGTGCAGTACTCATATGTGTGACTGCACAGATGGCCACTTGAAGAACATCAGTTACAGGTAAGCAACCTGCTTTTTTCAGCCAAAGTTATATATAAAACATGGGCTGAATTGTAATCCTACATTGCAAAGTGTCACATTATTGAGGGGGAACCCGTATGAAGATCTTCTTTAGCAACAACTAAATAATAAGTAAGGAAATATCTCAAAATATAGCTATAAATGGAGTAGCAACAAAGCAGTTGAAAGCATGATAAATTCTGTAGGGATAAATTCTTTTCAGAGATAATCTAGCATTTCTGAGCAATTTAAGAAAGCTGCCAATTGTTCCAAGTTAGCCTTAAACAAAAGATAGCTAGGTCATCATAGTGGCTGATGCTTTTCTCATACTTTAGTCATATCCTTCATTAGTTTAATAAGAAACAAAACCTGTATCTTATACAGCTTCATACACAGAACAGCTTCTTTTGCTTCTTACCTTTTTTCAGTTTTTTATGCTTTACCCTCTGGGATTCAGACCCATCAGCTGCACTTAACAGGCACTTTCCAATGCCACAATTACTTTCACTTCCTAGGAAATCCATTTGGAAATCTGCTCCAGGCCTCCTGCAGAGAAGGGTGACTAAAACTGGTTTTATACTGAAATATTTTATACAGTATATTTATTTATACTGAAACCTTTAAAAATGTTAAACTAAGCTATATTTTAAAATAATTTTAAAAATATAAATCTATGACACAACCTGGAAATATTGGTGGTAATTATATTGCTTGCTTTTGGAAGTACTGTATTAGGTACATCTTTATAATGGTTGATGGGAAGAGATTTTGACAATAAGGAGGGCCTTAGTTTACATTTTTGCTGATTCTTTGTCTTCTTGCACTCTTGACTTCCAGTTGGGGGCAGTGAGAATTTACGGGACTACTGGAAGATGTACCTGCCTCGAGTGCTGCTCCTGATCTATGTTGTGGATTCAGCAGATCACGTTCGTTTGCCTGTTGCAAAGAAGCTCCTTCATCAGCTGGTCCAGAGTAGTCCTACCCTGCCTGTTATGATTCTCGCCAATAAGCAGGTAAATGTGAGCTCTAGAATTCGGAAAGCATTCATAGTGTTGGCATTTGCAGTGAGGGAGTCTTTGTGGCACATACCTGTATTCTTAAAAGGGGCCATTTCTAAGTTGAGCTTTTATTGGTTGCACCTTGTTAGACGTAACTGTCAGTTGCTCATTTTGGTGTGTAATGTCTGAATGATCTTTCAGTGCAGTACTTCTTTTTTCTCATCTAAGGCCAGAGTGATGTAGCAACTCCCTGTTGCATCCGCTTTATGCAATGCCTCAGTCACTGCATAGAATGAATACATATTCAAAGAATACATATATTGTTTCATAGCCAGGCAGGATTAGAGGTGAAGGCATGAAAAAGGCATTTAGAATGAAGAAACTCTATACAAGGGGAGTTATCTGGAAACCTTCTATCAGGGAAGTGTAAAAAACATGACACATACCTACACATGAGTCTCTCTGTCTTCCACACACAAATGTTTATTATTGCATTTATATCCCACATTTTTCCTTCTACAAGGAATTCCTCTTCCTCTTCTCCATTTTATCCCCACAACATCTCTGTGAAGTAGGTTAGGTTGAGAGTCAGTGATTGGCCAAAGACACCCAGTGAGCTTCATGGCCAAGGAGGGACCAGAACCAAGCCCCATTTCCCATGGGGCTAACCCTAACCCTAACCATTACACTACCCTCTTTCTTAGGTAGATAGAACCCTACAGTAGAGATATCAAACACATATGGACTGGAGGACCAAATTCCTGAAAAGCTCAATTTCACCTGCAGTAGAAATCACAGGAATCTGTGCCATTGAAGGCCTTTCCTTTCAAGTTAGCATTATTTCTTGTTATTCTTTACCCAGATTTTCCTCTGAGAAATTTGGGATAGCATGAATGGAATTGTTCTATTTTCATGTTTGTGATGTCCCATGAAGTTGTTTAGCCTAAATTTATTGGTCAAAAGTTACCTGGTCAACTTCATGACAGAGAAGCGCTTGAACCTAGATCTTGCCAGTCCAAGTGCATTGAAACAACCTTGCTATACAAGGTGTACCTACAACAGATATAAACTTAATGCAGACATAGAATAGTTGCTGCAACTGGAAGACAGAATAGACTTAAAACTGTCATTGGCTGATGCCAAAAAAGCCTTTGACTTCACAACAGATGGACAACTGTTTGGAGCATGCAGTGATCTTACGCCATGATAGCATTCACTGGGATATTTGTGAGGCAATGCCATAGCTGACCCACCAAGTGCCCTTTTCTGAATGTGTCTTCTAGAAAAACTGCAGCCTTTACCAATACACCGGTTGGAATTCCCTCAGTAACTTTCCACACCTTTGAAAGTCATCTGAAATGTTAAATGGCCTCCTCCTTGGTGTCTCCAGTGTCAGCAGGGTGATGGTCAAAGAGCTATCCATGGCACTGAAGCTTAGGGCCTAAGTGTATTTGGCACCACAGACAATTTATTTAAAGTTTAGAATGAAGACAGGAGTGGACACAGCACCCACTGATATTGGAGTCACTAGGCACTGCCAGGGACATGTGGCAAGAGAGAAGGATCTGGGCCGAAGGCACTGAAATCTGTTAGTAGTAGGATCATTGACAAGCTACTAACTGTATTAGTTGGAGGATGTACTAATTGTGAAGTTAAGGCTGAATGGTAATTATATTTATTTTGTAATATATGCAGTTTTGGTAGGTTCAAAAAATATTTTTTTTATTATTTTTATTATTATTATTATAACATTTCTATGCTGCCCCTTGCCGAAACCTCGGGGCGGCTTACAACAAATCTATGAAGGATAGTCTTATCCAAGGCTACCCTCAAAACTAATGGAACCTCTGCATACAAAGGCAGTAGGCATCTGATTACCAGATGTTGAAGAGGGCTGCCTTGGTACCATCCTTGTGAGTATCCAGAGGCATATGAGTGGTTGCTGTTGAAGGTAACATGCTGGTCTCATGGATCCTTCATCTGTTCTAGCAGAGGAATTGTAGGGTAAACCTCTCTTTAGGGAGCCTATTTTATCTGTGTGGGTTTCTCCATAGTTTGGATCCTTGTATAATCTGGGTCCCAAATCAGTTGTTTGCATGGAGTTCAGGCTCCCATCTAAAGATATTCTTTCCCTACCTCCTTGTATTGGATGCAGTGGTGCAGTTACTGTAATTTTACAAAACCATTTTTAGACTGAAGGCAAAAAGGGAGTCAGAGCAAAGCACCACAAATACTAATGCATTGTACCTTCAAGTGCTTACTATGCTTTAGAAGAGGGATTTCAAACTTTTAGAATAGGGTTTGTACAGGTTTAGAATAGATAAAAAGCTGGGAAACCAGCAAACATTTTGTGGTTGGGAAAAAGGAGGTGTGATGAGGGGAAGGGGCTGTGGCCTTCTGGAGAATTCATGGAAGAGAAGACTGTCAGTGGCTTACTAGTCTTGCTGGCTATGTGCTTCCTCCTTTACCAGAGGCAGCCTGCCTGCCTGCATGTACCAGTTGCTGAGGAGCTTGGGCAGGCAGAGATCTTGCACCCATCCTGCTTGAGCAATCCTGTGGAAAACTGTTTTGCCTCTGTGTGAATGGCGTGCTGGATTAGATGGACCTTGGTCTGATCCAGCATGGTTCTTCTGTTCTTGTGGAATCTCACAGGACTGGGTCGAGACTGCAGAAGGTCAAAGGTTTTGCACCCCTGTTTTAAAATCTGAACATAATGGTTGGACCTTAACCCATCTATCCACCTTTAACTCATTTCGCTATAAACTGCTAAGTCATCTCTACTGCATTTGGCAATCTCCTGCTAAGTTTGCTGAGTCAGACCCTGAAGTTCTGTCTCCAAGTCCTGTCCTGATGGCATCATTGCATGGTTGGCAGGGGGTGGAGCCAGCAGGACCAGGTTGGGCAGGGACTGGTGGGCACAGCCTTGCTTTCCCCCTCCATGTAATTGTTCCAGTCTCATTGAGTGAGCACCTGGATAGGTTTAGTGCTAAAAGAAGTTGGGATGGTGGCACACCTTCTGGTGGAACTTTTGCCTGCACAATTTCCAGTGAAACCTGATGTGGTGTAGTGGTTAGCACTGGGTTAGGATTTGGGAGATGGAATTCAAGTCACCACTCAGCCACTCACTCTGTGACTTTGGGCGAGTCACAGACTCTCAGTCTAATCACTTTACAGGTTTGTTGTGAGGATAAAATTGGACAGGAGGAGAATGAACATGTAAGCTGCCTAGGGTTCCTTGAAGGAAGGAAAAAGAAGGATATAAATATAATAACAATAAATTCCAGAAGAGGTTTTTGCTTGCATATGCAAAAATAGAGCAGAAAATACTTTCTCTGAGATGGTGCCTGCTAACCTTGAATTTCGTAAGCAGTTGTATTTGAAAAATTCTTTTGTCCCTATCTGTCCTTTCCCCCATTTCACTGAACAGAATTTTTATTTGATTTTAATTAAACGGTGTAACTAATTGCTCAGTTAAACATTGTAGTCCTTTTTTAAATGACCTCATTGTACATTGTGGTCTGTTACCTCTAAAACTGACTGACCCTTGTTGAAAGCCTTTCTCTTAATGTATAATATTTATTTGGGAGGCTTTAAATAGTAGGCTTCTCACCTGCTTGTTTTATGTAAATATTCCTTTTTTGGTTGGTTGGTTAAAATGTAGCATTCTTTTTAAGATGAGGTGCACTATTAACTACAAGAACAACTTCTATAACTAATACATTATTGTTAATGTTCCAACACACATGATGGATCATTTTCTTATAGTGCTACAGTGTGTATTGCATTTTGGAAAAGAACAGGTATGGTAGCTTAGGATATACTAACACCTTTTCCATTTTTTTGAGACAGGATCTTGAAGGTGCATACTGTATCACAGACATCCATGATGCTCTGGCATTATCTGAACTTGGAGATGAGAGAAAGATGTTCCTGATTGGTACACATGTAGCAAAAGATGGATTTGAAATCTCATCCAGCCTGAAAGACACACGGGAATTGATTGCACAGCTGGTGTCAGAAACTCTGTGATGGGAACTGAAATGGGGTGCTACATGGGAACACAGAGTGTTCTTGTTTTGCTATCTTGCAGCCATACATAGTGTTACTTTAAATTTAAATCATGTGGTGGTGGTTATTCTCAGGTGTAGAATTTCTATGAAGGTGATTTTGAAGTTGTGGAGAACCTAAGCAGTTCTTACTTTAAGCATGGGAAGAATTGACACCCTGAGTTAAGGAAAGAGCCACACCTGATGTTGTATAGATATCTGTTGTTGACTTTTAATTGAAATTGTGTGATGGTTTAGACTGTTTGAGAAGTTGACCCATGGAAAAGCAGTATATAAGTTTACATCAGAGATTTTTGTGAAGAAGGTAGCACATAAATTCAAAGAACCAAGAACTAGTGGTGTCATATTTCTAGAAAGGCACTGTGCGTTTCTCAGAAACCTTTCAGTTTCCTTATATAATCAGTTCCTTAACCAGAAGGGTTTTTCTGATTCCTTAATTCCATGGATGTATCTTTGCTTAGTTCTGTAGCAATTTTCACATTTATCATGTTTATTAATGTGTAGAGAAGCATTCAGGAGAAGCTCAATCCCATAGATGATGGCTGGGCCTGGTCATACATTGATTTCCTCCTGGAATGAAAGTGGAGAGAATAGCACACTTTCCTTTTAGAAGGGAACTCATGTTTCAAGGACAAAAGATTTTGTGTTTAAGGAACTTGTAGGATGTCATAGTTCAGACATTCAGTTCCTTTCTGTGCTGAAGGGACTGGTGGAGCGACAACAAGCCTGCAATCTGGTATCTCCCTGGTATAATCCCAGGAAATATAACATTTAAGCAGGCACATTGAGTGTTTAGACCTCAGTATTGCCCTACTAGTAATTTACTAGTAATGCCAAGCAGTCCTATTTAAGGGTATGCAACAATGGCGCTTTTTTTGAGACTACATAGGTCAGTAGGTCTGGCAGAAGTCTTGGTAAACAAAAAATGGCTAACAGGTCTTTTGCCTT